GATTTTACTGTTGAGGAAAGTTCAGTGGGAGGAAAAAATGTGGTAGATAAATGTATTTCGGTAGCTATACGCCGTATTATGAACATGATCAACAAACAGAAATAAATGTTCAAAATTAATGTATGAAACATATTAGTTTCACTTTTTGAGTAAAATGACTGAAACATTTTTACAAATATGAATATACTTGCATTTACTATGTCCACAAAATTTATTTTTTTTATTTCACTTTAGCAAATCCATATTTTTCTTCAGGATACTGTTATTGAAATAATTTATTTAACATACTGATTGTGTCACACATGATGCCACATTTAAGTTCGATTTAAAATCCAAAATTGCTGTATTACTGTGCTTCTTTCAGTAAACCGCAGTGACCTAATCAACATATAAGCACAGATGAAGCCAAACATTTGAGTGGGAGGGGTTCAATGGGTGTTTACCCGCTGAGGAGTCACAGATGCCCCTCACAGTTGGAGAAGGAAGCTCTTTGCTCTCTCCTGTGTAAGCCAAGGGAAACTCTGATTTGGGCAAGGAGCCCAGCAGCAAAACACAGAGACAAGGAAGCAGGTCGTATCTTCACCGCAAACCGAAGGCAAAACTGACCAGAACGTCTGCAAAGTCCAGAATGGCATCTAAGTTGGTAACGACGTACACAAAACATCAGATCAGAAAAATAAGTTTTGCTACCTTTGTTAGAAATGAATGCTTGTACTGCAGAGTTGATTCTTGCATTGAAATTGAAATTTGATCCAACAAGCTACCAACTTTACAACGTTCAATCTCTAATCATTAACCTTTAATTTATGAAACTACAATTTATGTCAACTTACTGATTTGTCTAATTTTTAAAAAAGTTTTCTGGGTACAAAATCAGCTCTTGAAGCAGTAAGATAGAAATAAACATCAATATAACACTCTGATTAATGACTCATGGGCTCATTTTAATTCTAATTTCTGAGCTGCACGTTTCAAGTTCTGATTTTTCTTTTGACTTTTACTCAGCAGCTTCTGTGTGCTTTCTTGTTTATTTTCTGTGATGACCTGGTGAGAAATTATTTGGCCTCTTTGGTGCTTTTTAGATTTGTAATTTGATCTTTTCAAGCCTGACCTACTGTTCCTTTTTCAAGACCTCACCAGACTGCATTGATAATAACAAATCAGGGATGACACAGTTTGTCTTTGTTAAACTCAAATAAAAACAATATTCTCCTGAACCTCTACAATTAGATTTGATATCACTAAACATATTTTTATCTATGTAAGATGTACATTTGTTTACATGGTGATAAAGATGTTTGTTCTATGTATGTAATGTTGATATGTTGATTAAAATCTTCTCATTTGTACTCTCTGTGCCACTGTAGCAAAGAAATGTTGTAGTCAGTCCAATAATGAACATAGCAATAAATCTGATTTTTTTTAAATTTAGAGAAAGTCCAAGGTTACTCTTACTGAGGCCTCCAATCTGGGATCTTTCATATTTAAGGCTGAGAAAATAATTATTCATGCCAAAATGTGACAACACATATAGGTTTTTACATTTTCTCACATTCTCTTAAATAGTTTTGATTTTTATGGAGCAGGAAATTCTATAACAGCGCAATCGTTATAGCAGTAGGAGGGTCTTAGCGCTGTCAATCATGCCCTCTTCTATGCTGCTAGAGCCTTTTCATGGTAACAATCCTGCCACAACTGATCAAGTTAGTGAGTTGGATTGGTCATCACTGATTGGTAAACAATTTTCCTGGGACAGTAAGTTGGTTCTCCACCATTAGCACATTTAGCAGCACCTACACCCGAATTACTGACAGTGCTAAGATGCTCCATCTGACTCCGATTGGTTGTTTTTGACTAGAAAAGGTAAATTTCCTCAGACAGCAGTAGTAGCTCAGGGAGGAGGTAAAGGAGTTCAAACTTTTTATAGGTTAACTGTCTCATACTATACTGTCAGACAGTTTTAACAAATATGTAAAAATTACATAGTTTAATAAAAGTTGCATATTGCAAATTTAATTCTGCATTTGTTGGTCTTAATAAGTGTACCTGAGACGAAATAATTTTATTGGATCATCTGCAGTGGCACCATCGGTGATTACAGTCAATGAAAGCTGCAGCACACAGACATATTTAGTGAAGGGAAACAAACCCGATGTCTTTATCACCTAATAAAACCTCAGCCAGGCAGACTGTTTTTCATACAAGCTGGCTCAACTCCCTGGGTTAAAGTGACATTGTTCTTGATTTTGAAACACCTCTTAACCAATATGGCTGCTCTAACTGCTGAGATTTGTCTAAAGATGCAGATTGAAAATGAAAAATGATTACATGTTGAACCCATTAAGCAGCTAACGATGATGCTCCACTGTGTTACATCAAGTCAATAGGAAGTCTTAGAGTACTTTCTGCTTCCCTTTACTAACAACCTTAAAGGAAATGTTGATTTAATTTTCCATCAGGACTTGATTGTTGAAAAAAAGAGGAAAGACACAGAAAGACAACCTGCCCTTCTTACGCACAACAGATGAAGCCTGGTGAAGCCCTGAAACAGCTTCAGTTTTCAGTTTAACAGAAAACAGTGACATCTGGTGGCCAATTAAAGCCATAGAAGAAAGAACTTACAACTTTTTCTGATTGTGGTTTTACACTGATTATGTTTTGCTCATTTATACAACCTAATTATTATGTCATAATTATGAATTATGCATGAGAATTGGCTACATGTTATTTTTTATGATAATTTTGCTTATAAAAAAAACTTCATTTCTGTATAGCAAAGCAAATGAGCACAAAGTGGAGTGCCAATGACATTCACTTATAATTTATAAAGGTTTACTCATATGTGAAATAATCTGTCAGAGAAACCAGTACTTTTTAAAATCAATGTTGAGGAGTTGTTTACTTAAAACAAGCTTTTGTATCTTGCTCAAAAGCTACTCATTAGTTTTGTCTGATTTTAAGTGTATGAAGTTATTTGCAATAAAAAGTAGGAACAAATTTTTGAAAAGGCAAAATAAATGCAGGAGAAACACTATCCAAAGAAGAAGAAAATACCATATTTGGTTTAAAACAACCTGTTTGTTGACTGTTTAGTTGTTACCTTTATTTTAATTAAACCACCAAAAATATCCATCAGGAGTCCGAAAGTAATTCCATTTGATGGTTCGTAATGTGAATCAAACTCAACCTCCAATTTAAAACCAGTTTTCCACTTCAACAAAATTTTCTCCAACAGAATGAAGAGCAAACTGAGCCAACCTCCATCTTCCTCTTTAACTCTGCTGACACGCTGAGGATTTCTGCTTTATTCCATAGCTAAAATCTAAATCTGTTGTCTCACAATTGTGACCCCACGGGCGACTAAGAGGAGATTAAAAAACATAATCCTCTGCATCAAAATTTATTTTTCCAGAAATAAAGATGCTGGTACCATTTCAACGTAACTGCAGCTCTCATAATAAACACACTCCAACTGCATGGGCTTACTTACATAAGACATTTTGGAGACACTGGATGACTGAATCGACATAATTAGTGTTGGGTTATCTGGAAATTGATCAAATGACGAAGGGTTTTATTCATCCAAACCCATAAAACGTCAAGTTGGCTCATTAAAACCGTTTTTTCCGTTTTGATTTCTCAATTTTTCTTTTCACAATTTATCACACAACCAGAAATGTCAGTGTACTTATTAGAATGTTATAAACTAAATACAAACAAAAATGTGACATGTTTCTGTAATCACCCAGCCTGAATTAATATTTTCATAAACTAGCTACAGTTCTTTAGTGTGTCGCTACACATCTAGAAACTATTTTTTTCTTTTCCCCATTTGCCGATAGATCAGGCAGATTGGATGGAGAGTGTTTATATACACGCTTTAATTTGTCACAGATTCTCGATTGTGTTTAGGTCTGGACTTTGACTGGACCATCTTAATTCATGAATATGTTAAAATATAAGCCAGGGGTGGAAACTCCTGTCTTAAATCATTTGGGCTGTTATTCTTTTAGGGAAGTAAACCTTTGTGAAGATTAACATGTGCCCTGATTTATCTCCATGTATCTAAACATCAGCTTTGACAAGCTCTCCTCTTCCTACTGAAGAAAATCAACCCCAAAGCATAATTCTGCCAGCATCATGGTTTCCCCATGTTGATGGTGTGTTCATGCAGAAATAGAGTGTTTGCTTTTTTCCCCTCATTCTTGAAGACCAAAAAGAAACATTTTTGTCTTTTCTGACCTGAAAACTTTCTCCCACATGTTTGGTGGGTGCGTGTGGTGCTGCTCATGTAGCGGCTTATTTTTATTCATCTCTGTGAATCAGTTACTCTACTGTGCCATAGATTGATCCTTAGGGATGAGACGGTCCTCAGAACAAAATTTGATTACAAACTTAAACTTATCTGCTACGTTCCTTTCTAGTCATGATGGTATTTGTTTAGTAATTATCTTGATAACAATGTATTTAACCCCTTTATTGTCACAAATTCACCTCAAACCACCACACAACCTAAATGGCTGATGTATGACATTAATGCCTGTTGATGTGTATCAAACACATCAAGGAAGTTAATGCGAGTCCTTTGGCTGCAGAATTGTTAAATTCTCCCAAATTCTGGTAATTTGCACATTAAATTGTGTGTTGAGTTCAAATAAACAATATCTTGAATAGCAAAATGTGACAAAAGTTTTTATTTTATTTTTATGGACTGGAGGTTCAACTGCATCCTTCTGAAGGCAATTATCATGCACCAGAGCTAGACGGAGGATGAAAATCAATGCATGCCACACTTTTCAGATTTATTTGTAAAAAAAAAAAACTTTTTGGAAAATTATGTATCATTTTTATTCCACCTCACAATTACATGTAACTTTGTGATGGTCTGTAATATTCGGTGAAGTGCGCGGCTCTGACTCACTCAGGTGTTAAGAAATGCAAACCATTCAGACACATGCGCTCTCCCAACAGTTCAACTTTTAAACAGCCGCCTCTCTTACCTTGCTGCTCGCCGCTCCGTACCGGGGGGGATTCCTGAATGCCCTGGTCATCAGGACTTTTGCGTTTCTTCGACATCTGCCGCTCCCCTGTTCCAGTGATGGACCGATGCACTGCAGAGTCTTGTGTTTATCGAACCGTACAGCTGCTAAAAGCGCGAGATACGTTCAGCCGGCGGGATATAAAACACATTCAACAGTCTTTGGGAAGCGAGATGAGAGATGCGAGGAAATTTCAGCCGCATTCATTCAGATTCCGTCTTTGCTGTGAGCCTCTTTCGGCGCGCAAAGTTGCCGAGCTCCGGCCAGGCGGGCATCTGGAGACGCGGTAAGGCATGGAGCCGATCAGCGATTGCAGCTATTCACTAATAATCGGACAAGATGATTTCACAGGATTGTCCACGGCTTATTTTTTTTCCCCTCTTCGTCTTCTTCTAGTCAGATGAGATGGGGAGGGGAGGGGGGGGATGAATTGCAACCGAAGAGATTTTGTGGATCACGTGTGTCGCTCTCGGATTATGCTTGGACTCTGGTCAGATGGAAATTACGCACTGACGGCAACTTGTTGATCCGAGTCTATTAAAAAAAAAAAGAGAGAGAGAGAGAGAGGAAAAAAGAAAAGACTTCCGTCACTCCGGATGTGATTAAAAAAAGATGTTGGACTTTAACATTTGTGTGAGGTATCTTCTTCTTGAATGCTGCGCTGGCGACGTCAGACTCCAAGTCTAATCAGGAATGACGCACGGGAACTCTTGGGCATTTTTCAGTCAGAAAAAAAAAGCCCACGTCGATTATCTGGCTGCAGTTTTCCTTCTTAGCGAACACCAAACCATGTGAGGAATTTTCACCTCTTCCCAGATGAGCAGCAGGTCAATACGGAACGTTTGTCAACGTGGGGAAAGAGCAGAAAGGAGCCGGCTCTCGTCTGTGACTCCCTGAACAAGCCTGATCCGAGAGTCAGAGGAACATGAAAGGGAACAAACAGGCAGCATTGTGTTGTGAGCGCAAGTCCTGTGAAGAACACGTTTGTTTTCACTTGAGCCACATTGCAATTTGAGAATAAGCTTTGAATAAATGCAGCAAGACTCCAGAAAAGAGCCAGTGACGCCACCGGTCTGGGTCTTACAAATAGCCCTAATGTCAGTTTTCCTTCCCTTTCGCTCCACTCATTTCTCTAATCTACTTTGAAAGGGGGGGGGGAAATGCCCTTTTTAGAGCAAAACTCGACATATCTCCTCAGATTATTTCTGTGACACCTTGAATTTGCTGTCAGGGGGACACAGATGGGCGCCTGAAGCCTCTTTCATTCTCTCTTCAGCTGATTTATTTATGAGCACCCCCAGGTCACAGGATCGCGTTTCCATTTACTACAGCTGGTTTAGATATCTGAAGCTGTAGCACCTACACTGTTTCTCTAAAATGTGCACGTTTGGACATCAGGGTGAATGTTTTTCGTTGCTTTCTTGCAGTTGCATTCATGCATTTGACGCTGGTATTTTCTGAACGGAAGGTAAACACGCCTCTCTGCCCCCCCCCCCCCCCCCCAACTCTACCCTCCTCCCATCCCTCATTCACTGCAGCTGCTGACGTCAAGAAATGCTTGCGTCAATGCGCCGTGCTTTGACTGAGAGCTTTTTTTTCTCGTTGGGATCATAATGGGATTATTAGGCTTAGTGAAATACCCTGCCTTCCTAGCTTTTATAGATTTTTTTTTTATGAATCTCTCTATTTTACCTTCTCGCTTTGAATACAGCAAAAAGACATGAGATACATAATTGCCTCCAACAGAAAGGTCGAGTTATTTCCTCAATCTAATGATGATAATGTTTCCTTTGGCTATAAAAGCAATGGCCATAATTTCAGAAAGAACCTACTGAAATAATCATTTTCAATAATGCACCAAGACAACATGGTAATAGGATGAGTGTAAAAAGTAATCAGGAACGTCATACGTTATTCACTTAGTCTCGCTTCACCATTGAAATCAGATATTTGCACACACTGTACAAAAACACAGTGTGTCGAAACAATGAGCTTTTATTTTAGATGTATTTACCTTTGCTATTGATGATAGCTTTTTTGTATATTTTGCTTCCACCAGATTCACATAGACGTTTGCTGGAATTTTGGCCCATTTCTGACAGAACACTTTCCTATATGAGCGATATATCAGTGCTTTGTGATGGGCAGTGTGTAATTAATTTGGAGTCTTAGAGTCATTTTAAAATCTAGTTGATTTGAAGCATTGACTGAGGTCTTCAGATGATGCCTCAATCTGACGAGATGCGGTGAACCCTGCAAAAACACAAAATAAGTAATTTTGACCTAGTTTCTCATGCAAATATCATGAAGTAAGAGAAAACTCATTTTCAAGTAACTTATGAGCAAAATGTAAGAGCTTATTTTAACTGTATGGTTTCTTAATATTGATGAAGAACTCCTTGTTCCATTGGCAGATCATTTCATTTCTAAATAGACATTTTCCCACGGTATAAACAAAATAATCTACCCAAGGAACAAAATCAGTGTTCCTTAGCATTGAATTTTTAAATCACTGCTAAGGAATTATTTACTTAAAATAAGCTCCTATGTCTTGCTACAAAGTTTCTTGTAAATTAGTTTCATCTTATTTCACGTGTACTAAGATATTTGAACTAATACTTGGTAATATTTTGTCTTTGCAGATTCTGCATCATTTTTGTGAAGTAAGCTAGTGTATATGAACCAAAGTATTTGATGTAGTTTCTTGAATGTATGTCACAACAACTTAACACAACAGGGTCCAACCAGGTGCTATTAATGCCCACCAATAGTAAATGATGTTACTGGATTTACTGGAACAGAGTGGAGTCTATAAAGGCTCCAGTGAATAATGTGGGTGATTGGATTTATGCTCTGTTCTCTGGTGACTGCCTGAATGCGGAGGAGGATGTCATAATGTCCCGTCGCTGACCTTGATCCCCCGGGCTGAATGGGTTCTTGTGCCTCTCGGACAGCCTTGGAGCACTTTAGACATAAAGCTTCTTTTCATGCTCTGTCAAGCTTTCAGTCGCAGCACATTTGTGCTTTTCCTCAAACAGTAAACCCGCTGCAGACATCAGCGAGTTTTATCTGTTGACAGAGGGACAAAATGTTATCTGAAGAAGGAAAGCAAGGACGGAAACAAACAGGAATGAATGAAATCTTAAAGGTGGCATAACATTATGACCACCTGATGTTTTGGTATCAAAACAGCAATCGGGTATGAACTCCACCTTACCTCTGAAGATATGTGGTGATATCCGGCATCAAAATCTATAAACAGCAGATACTTCAGTCCTGTAAATTGTCATGACTTAGTTGAAATTGGGAAAAATAAAGAGGATAACTTGGGTTTTTTGTATCTTTGTTATCAGTGTCTTCTTACATCCACTCAGAATAAACTCAGTGTACAAAAAAATTGCAGTTATTCTTGAGGTTAACCCTAACATTTTCTGGAGTGAATATGCATCGCTTAAAGCAAATTACATTTTTGAAACACTCTAAGCCAAATCTAAGCTTAAATTTATTCTCTCCAGTGACAGTTTTTGTATGAATGTATAAACTTGAGATGGTGAGATGATGTAGGATATTTAAAAAACACAAATATGACCCTGAGTCCTAAGCTGAGAGTCGGATAACAAATTCAACACCAACAACCACCCGTGATGTGCAGAAATGTTTTTCTCCAGTATGTAAAGTGTTCAGGGTCAAGACTTCCTGTTCTCAGGTCATGTAAAAACAAAAACAAACAAAACAGAATACCACTTTACTTCTGATTGCTCTTTAGACAGAAATTTTGCTACAAATTTAACTAAAAAGCATCTGTGACACTAAACATGTTGTTTGGCCAACCTGTTTTGTTTGATTATAATTATTTATTTTCATTCATCCAGTTCTTAACACAATAATTATGCTCATACTTAATACTCTACTCACATGTTTTGAGAAAGAGTTCCCCAATTTTCCAGTGGAACATCTTGACCAACATCAGATGTGGTGAAGACAAATCAAATCCGTGAGATTTCATTCTGCAGTTAAAAAAAAAAAAGAAAGAAACATTAAAAGAGTTTTGCATTATGATCCTTCATAAAACATTTAAAAAAATATGAACAGTGACAACATCAATCATGTCTTTTCAGGTTTTTGATCAATACTTTTTTTTTCCCACCCGACATTGTTATTAAAATACCCTCTTGCTCTCTGAATGACTGGCTGGTGGTTAAAAGCTGTATCAGGAAACAACAGTGAGCAATTACATTCAGGCCAGACAGACTGTAGAGCATTTTGTTTGTTCAGATAAGAGGGTAATAAACATTCAAATTACACATATTATCATTGATGTCACCACACTGTCTGTTGGAAATTTATCCATGGTGAATTTAAGCATTTGATGTTTTTTGTTTTTACTTCTTTATATATTTCTCCCAGAATTGTGTGCCTATTTGCTATTTATTTAAGAAATCCCTAAAGAAAATGACAAATAAGCATTTTTTAACTTCATTGCTGTTTTACTGCAGGATCTCCACTAAATGAACAAAATACTATAAACCTTATCTGTTATTAGTTTAATGATATATGCTCTTTATGCCCACTAGTACACTTTTTTTAATTTCCATTATCATCTCCTGCACGCAGTGAAAAAAAACAAAACAAAAAACCAATCCATCTTCAGCCATTTCTTATCCATGTTATATATTGTGTGCAGCCATGGAAGTCATGGCCTCTTAACTTAATAAAGTACTGTGTGATTTATAAAATATTTAAGTTATTTGTGTTGGGAATGATTTGATAAGCATATAATTGTAAAACAATTTCTTCTTACATTTTTCTGAAACATTTTATCTGGGAACCGATTAAATTTGAACTTGTTTTCTAGCTTGTTAACCAAAAGTGACAGTTGTTCTTTTCCTGAGCTAACAGAGAAGTTTAATGTTATTCATTTGCCTTCCATCCAAACTTGTCCTGTTCATGCTGGTGTAGGAGCTGCTCAGTCAGCTGATGGCGGAAAAACAACCTACCATGTCGGAGACACTGTTTATCCATCGTCATCGGTCGCCATGCTAGCTAGCATTAGCATTTACGGCAGACTGAAGATGTGGTGAACCAGCTGCAGTTGTAGCGTAACAAAGCGCAAGGGGGATTGGCCAAGCGGTGCATAAGACCCGCCCCCTGGCTCTGATTGGTTGCCTCTAACCTAGCAGTGTGCAATTTCAGTAGGCATAGGAGCTTCATGTTTTATTAAATTAGTGATAAAATATGAAGTTCCTGTCATTACATGTCCTGTCATATTTTTACAAATATGCAAAAAAAAAAAAGAAAGAAAAAACATACTTTATGAAAACACACTGCATCTGTAAAGTTAATGCGTAATTGTTATTAGAAATTATAATAATATAAACACCCCAATGTACATATTAATGCAACCGGAGGCTTGATTTGTGGGGACGTAAAACTGGTTGGAATTAATTTACAAACAAATTACATTAAATTTAATCTGAATGCTTCCTATTATGGACCCACAAATCCAAAACATTAGAAAGCCAGAATAACATTTTAGTCATCTTAAACACACATCTATTTTGATGTAAAGGGAAGAAGAAAGAAAAACAACAAACAAAAGAAGTGTGTTCTATTATTAAATCACATCTTCTCAAAAGGCATCAAAAACAAAGCAAAACAAAGAAAACATTTATTCACAGAGCTATAAAATTATTTACAGTATGAACATTCTTAATTCCTAATTCATATTATTTGAGCTTTATGATTCCCTGCTCTAAATTTTGTGCAGTTGCGCTTAATATAAGCAGATCAACAGATCAACTAAAAGCATTTTATTCTTCAGTAATAAACTGAGATTTTTTTTTAGAGGCTGGTTCACGCCTCCGCTGGTTCTTCTTTTAACACCGTGAAATACTCCACACAATTTGTTTAAAAAAAGTTTATTCCTTCTTAAAGTAACAAGAGGTTACTCAAGAGAAGGTCAATCCTCAGTGACCCTCTAATCAAAGGGATGGAGGCGTGACGGGGGTCCAAGCTGAGGGCAGCCGGCCATGGGATGAAGCTTCATACTGGACAGCGTCCTGCACCTCTGTGGCGGAGCTGCTGTCATACATAGGAGAGACAGAGGGGGGCGCTGTGGCGGAGTGAGGCAGACTGGGATAGTGACTGGAAGATCCTCGGAGAAACTGGGAGCCGAGGCAGCTGCTTAAACCCCCGTTCTGGGACACTGGAGTCAGCGGAGAGTTACTCACAGACCACAGGCTGGTGTACTGACTGGAGACACAAACAAGCTTCAGCATCAGATGAAATACCTCGATACAGCTGAAAAAATCTTTTTTCTCTCTCATAGTTTAGTTATTTGTTTGGTTATCTCATTTATTTCCAACTTTGTTGACACAAACAAACATTTTGAATGAAAAGAAGTTGTTGGAAAACAATATTGATTTATAAGGCTGTTACCTCATCTCTAATAATATCGCACATTTCATATCATTGTTTAAGTCCAAGAATAGACAATTCTTTTACTTGCCATTCATAGTCACGCTGTTTTGTTGCTGCACCATGTATTACATTGTCTTAAGCTGAAGTGGGAAGAGTACGCAAAAATAATAGCACCACTTCAACACAGTTTTACTTAGGTAAAATTTAACCATCCAAGATATTACTTAAGTAAGACTAAAAACGTTTGACAACTCAAGTACTGAGTAACTGATTGAAACATAATTTAATATTTACAAATCATCTGACATCAGAAAATGTTGGTATTTTAAATGAAAATAATTCAATTAACAAAATCAGGCAAAAGGAACATTTTTCAAAATTAGTTTTCATTCAATGAAAAAAAATTATAAAACTTTATTAAAAATTGCAGGTATATATCTTTGTCTGGTGAATTTTAGATCTTTTCATGACAGTTTGAACAACACAGGTCGGATTCTTTTCGAACGCGATCCAGGCTGCCTGGGTATCCGATAGTATCCGATTCAAATGTGACCTAACATCCAGGTCGCATTCATCCGACCTTATACCAAACAAATGTCTCTATTCTTCGTCCTGATACTCGTAAGCGGGAAGAAAAACAACAACCATGATGGAATATAGGATTAAATTGTTAATATGCTGGTTCCGGTCGGACAACAACTTCAGAATCGTAAGCTATGCTTCACCGTTAGCATCCATGTTTATTTCCACAAAGACTGAGCAGTTCTTTTTATGGCAGTTGGCAAACACTGAAAACACTGACATTGTGCCCTCTACTGCGAATGTGGGACACCGTCAGGTCGTTTGCCCTGGAGAACACATTCAAGTCTCATATATTTGGAAGTGTGAACGGCCACGGTGAAAAAAGTACGATATGATAAAAGATCCAAATTGGGTCATTTCAGGCTGCAGTGTGAACGCATTCTAGACTTCAACGTGACTGAGCTTCGTGAAATATCTATTAGTAACAGGTTAATATTTGTAGTTGGGTAGTCTAAACATGTTACATATTTTATAAATATGTTTTTCTATCAAAATATACATTAAAGTTTGTGGGTATAAGATGGCATCATGAGAATATTACACTGAAGTTTGTTGGTTCAAGGAGTATAAATAAAAAGTTTAGATGTATTTTGAAGCTTCATGTTTTATTTTGTAGTTTTAACTAAAGCTGCACCGCTTGTACATAAATATAATCACTTATGGCATTTGTAACCATCATTGCATATATCTTTCTTTTTATTAATTTCCCTTTTCAGCTTTGACTCATCTAATTTATGTTTCAAAGTATAAGTAAGGAAATAAAGATGGGAAGCCAGACCTTGAGTTGGCTGCACAGGTGGAGTTGTGGGTCATGGGCATCATGCTGGAGTGGTTTGGCATCTGCAGACTGGACCAGTTATCGTGGCTGGGGAGCATCGACAAGCAGGATGATGAGTTATCTGAATATCCGGCTGCAACAGAAAAAGAACCCACAGTTTTACTGGTTTCAACTTCATGTTCCAGAAAATAGACGTTTGACAGTATAATAACCTCAAGATACTCTTTACAGCTCTACAGTTTCCAACACACAAAGCTAGGAGGAGTGCAGATGATTCCTCGTCTCAGAAACATTTTGTTAAAATTTCTTGTTAAGTACATCTGGATGCAGAAGAGACTCACTGGGGGAGTTGGTCCGATGGGCGTAAGGGCTGCTGTAGGGCGCAGAGCGGTGGCTCCTCAGGCTGGAGTAACGCTCACAGCCATGGGAGGGCGACAGGGCGATGGGACTCCCAAACTGGCTGTGTGGACTGGTGGGGGGGCAGAGCGTTCCCGTGCCGTGAATAAACCAGCTGCCCACTGGCTCCACAGAGAAGAGGACAGATATAATCAGCACTACAAAAAAACTGAAAATATAAAATATAAAAAACTGAACATGTAATTTAAGAAAAGATTACACTGAGAGTAACCAGACTGGGGATTCTCATTAGCTTCTTCCCTTATGTCTTTGTGATCATTCCTGCAGAAAAGAGAGGATAGTTGGCATATTTTTCCTTTACATCAATATTCAGGTAAAAATTTAAGTTTAGTCTCATTCTTACCTTTCCTTTGCATCTAGAAAGGCCTTGGCAAAAGGGTTGTACTTTATTTTTAGAGCTGTTATCTGAAATTCAAGTGCACATGAAGCTCTTTACAAGCAGAAAATACAAGTGTGTTTTGTGCAAACACTGCTAGCATAATCTGATTTCTTACAGTGACAGTTTTTGTTATATGAGATATGGCTGACCGCCCAGGGCACTGTGGCGTGGAGGGCACCACGGAAAAATAAAAAGGCAAAAAACAACAAGCGAGAAACTGCTTCGAAAATATGGGATTGAACCAAAACGTGTATTTACACAAACCTCTTCATTTTGATATGCTGTCACTGCAATGAACTGCGTCTCTGGGAAGGAGTGGCTGGTGATCATCCTGCGTGGGCCTCCAACCCTAACGATGTGGATACGTGGCTCGTATTTGTGCAAAGAATTTAACATAATCTTAAGAAAAGTGAACAAAGCAAACAGAAATTACTTTTGATAAAATCATAATTTTATCTTGTATTTCATTTGTTATTCTTGCATTTTAAAATGATAAAGGGAGAGAACACTAAAGAAGTGAATTTTAAGGACAATTATAATTGGTAAACTTTAAATATAGCATATCAACTTGTAAATATAATATTAAAACTACTTAAGTTCTTAAATTGTCTACAAAACCAGCATAAGATGATTGGGCTGCTTACATACATTGTATGGTGTACAAATTAATGTAGTAAAAAATTGTAAGAGTAATCATAAAAATCATAATTTCTGTCTTGAGGCAAACATTTTTAATTTGCACCCACTATTGCCAAAGTGCTAATGCTACAGTTAAGCTAAGCTACTGCTATGGTTAAACTTGTTACCAGGCTGAGAGTAGTAAATAGTGGTTTAGAATTTTTTTGTGTTGAAGCAAGAACTTAAGTTTGTACCCAGCAGAGCAACAGCACTAATGCTAAACTGAAACTGTCTTGTCAACACTTCAGTCAAACTGAGCTCAGTTCAGCAAGAATACATGATTGTTTTTTGCTTTCTGACTTGTTTAGCGACAGCATTAATGTTCACACCAAACCTGCTAGCAAGCAAGCTTAGTGAAAGTTACAAATGTTGATAATAAGACTGATGTGAGAAGTGTCTGTGTCAAACTTGATGGCAAGCTGGGCTTTGTAAAACTACGAGCTGCATCAAAAGTTGTTGTGGCAAAATGTATGATTTGCTGAGATAATTTAAGTTTTTGTTCAGCTTTCGCTGGCTTGGGAACCTTGTTCATGCTAAGGTCAAACTTCCTGAGAAACTGAGCTTCTTCACCCCGAGGTAGAATAGAAACATCCTGGCAGAAACTGCGAAGGAAAAGTTTTTACTGCCACCTTGTTAGGCTTTGATAGAAGTGGACAGATATTAATATTTTAGTCATGTTTTAAGCCTCTTTTTACAGTAAATAAAAAAAAGAGCACAGGTGATTTAATAGAAGAAACAAAACTAAACAAACAAATTAAAATATAAACAGAAAAATACTTGTAGCAAATCAATGAAACCTGCGTTCTCTTTTAAATTCATATTTATACAATTATGATATATTTAATTAAGACTATGACTGCACTAAAGTGTGCAGCTGTTAAACGGCGTCCTTATTGTTCAGGTGTATTGATTTGAGTTTGAAGGTTAGAAATAAAAATTTAATTCTAATTAGATTTTGTTTTATGTGCAAAGTAAAATGCAAATAAATTGTTTCATCCAAGAACATTTCACACTTAAATGTTTCCCACTAAAAATGATCATGTATGCTTATATCTTCTTTTCAGTTTCTTTTTAATTTTTATTTCCATTATTTACCTCACAACAAATATTTTGAGCTTTTTTTTTTAATTAACCTATCAAAGTCAAGTTTTAAAATGTCAAACTCTTTTCTTTCTATATTGGTTTTTTTTTTCACAAAAATGTTCCACATTTGAATTCTGTTGGGAGTGAGGGATCATCCGGTCCCAGCAGGTTAAAATTGTCAACATCTATTCTGTGATAAAAAAAAATAAATAAATGACAGCAAAAACTTTAAAAAGTCGTGAACAACGTGTTTTTTTTGTTTTGTTTTTTTTGCCTTTTCACTGCATGGAAAAACGTCAATATAACTGGACATTTTGAAAGCACGAAAAGAATAGAAATCAAATTGTAGTAATCAAAAATGCATTGTGCGAATTAGAGAAACAAAAAAGTCTCCTTAATTAAAAAAAAAATAACGAAAAAGGAAGGTTAAGAAAATTCTCAGATAAATCAATTATATGCAAATGGGTAGATCCATTTAATCGATAAATTGCAATAAACAGCTTGCTTCAGCTCCACGTTTACCTGACCTCCGCCGTTGAGCTTGTTGGTGAGTTTGACTTTGCTGAAGGAGACCGGAGCCTTCATCCAGTGAGCCCCGAAGTTCGGAGAGTCCGGGTGGATGTACACGCAGCTGGGGGTCTGGGGCTCGGGTTTACCTCCCGGAACCCACTCCCCGTTCACGTACTTCCACCTGTGGTTGTCCGCCGACACAAAGTCCAGCAAGAAGGAATACATGGCGTTCGGGTCCAGTCCAGAGACGTTGACTTTCAGAACCGGGAACATGCGCCTTAAAGACAAAAAAAAAAAAAAAACGACATAAATACCAGGAGAATAGATGCTTCTCTCTATCTGTCTATCTGAGGCTCACCTGCCGTTCTTTGTAACTATCATCTCGTTTGTGAGGTCTTTAAATTTTTGCCACAGCTCCCGTTCATCCAGGGACACTTTCAGGTCCCTCTCGGTGGGGTCTCCCTTCTCGCTGCCGGCCTGCAGCTCACTCTCCACCGCACTGAGGAGGTGGTCCACCCGGTACTGAGCGGCCTTGCTGGGACACTCACCAGCTCCAGTCGCCATCAGGTCAAACAGCTCCAGGTTTGACAATAGCTGCGACTCTATGAGGAAATATCTAAAGACCTACGCTGTTTTGTTTCCCAGGATGAGTTTCTGAATATATAGTCGGATGAGCGGCTCCATGGCTGGACGGCTGTTTGGAGCAGAGGTGGTTGGCTCGTCTCCTCTTTGATCTGTGCGGGCTTGTCTCTGATTGGCTGAGAGCAGCCATATTATTCAGGGGCCACAGGATGGCAGCGATTTGAATGAAGCTTTATTACATCGACCTGTAAATATTGACACTTAGATCAAAGCCACACCTGCAGCAGCCAGGCCACAGCAGGGCTGACCAGGGCCAGTCTTCAGCCGCACCAGGCCCGAGGTTTAGCCCACTTTTATTCATTACTTCCTCAGCTTTTAGTTAGCATTAACTAAAAGCTGAGGAAGTGCAGTGGATTCATTGGAGTTCCAAGAATAGGCTACTCTCGTTTTAAATGTTTTGCTGTGAAATCAGTGATTTCCGAAAATCTACAATTTCTCTAGTGAAAAATGTAAATTATTAGATTAGATTAAACTTTCAAAATACACCAAAGAGCACCACAACTCAAAATACTAACTATGACTAATAATTAAAATAGTTAAATCTAACAAAATGGGACATCCATTTTTTCTTTAGCATAATGAGGATAGTCCTGCACACGTAAAAATATGATTATTAGTTATTTGAGACAATAGTACCTTTCAAAAATATTCATCTTTTCATGTCTGTATAAAGTTTTTTATATTTTGTCACATTATAACCACAAACTCTAAATGTTATTGATATTTTATGTAGGGACATGACTGTTTAGTCCAAGTGTCAGTGACTTGTTTTAAATCACCGGATAAGAAAAGGGGGGGGAATCCTTCCACTGACAACAATAAAACATATGACATAATTTACTTCTGAGTAACACTGCAGTGTCATCCTCATAAATAACAACTGTGTTACCGTGGCGACCAGCAGAGAAAAAACAGAAAACAAACATTAAAAGCAGACATTAATGTAACGGCTGCATGGCAGCCTCCGTAGAGCTCTGAGCTGTTGTGTTGTGGCTGGTTTATGTTACTAACCAAACCTTGGACGTCCTGTTCGTCCTGTCAGCAGAGCAGAGTCTGTCTGTCTCTCTGTCCAACTGTCTGGACTGGAGTTCACAGCAGGCATAGAAAAACAAATACCACTCAGGTTAAACTCTGACGTTTTTGGGGCATTTTTCCAATTGCGTATTGGGCTAGTATGGAGCCTGTCTCTGGAAAAGTAGATAATCCTACGTTTAAAGTTACTCTAAATCTGTTTCAAGTAGCCTACTCTTCTCAAGAATCTCCCTGATTATCCAAGCTGAATGTAAGAGTCCTCTGGTATTTTCTTCTCCACTACACACACAACTCACTCGCAAATCAGGATTCTTGCTCTCCCGGGGTTGCCAAGTTGTAAATGTGAGGGGCTTTTATCTGTGGGTGGCAGATATTACGATTATTTATCATTTCCTAATCCATTAATCGTTTTGTCATCAGAAAAGAGACCCCTTTGTGTAGGAGGTGAGGAAACCACGGTGTAAAAATCAAGGGTGTTATAACCAGTGCCACTTCAACAGTGCTGGTGTCTCAGTCAGCACCTGAGTCTTTTCCTTCAACACCATCACCCAACACCCCCACCATGAGCCAGCCCTCACATGTTTGCAGCATCATAAACGAAAATTATTCATCTATTTCTACAGCGTCAGCCAAAACCGAGTGTGCTTTCATTAGGATTTTATGTCTTTACATTTTATCACTGTTCAGGAAGAAGATAAGTAAAGTATTAACTAAAAAAGTAGTAGGAATTTTTATTATTTTTATTTTTATTCAGCCCTTATCACTTGAAGTAGCTTTTGAGAAAGGTAGAAAATGGTTTAAGTAAATAATTCCTTAATATTGATGTTAAAAAGTGACAGATTAGTTCAACAAGACATTTTCTCAAGTTATAAGTAAAAAGTTTATCGATATTAAGGAATTATCGACTCCTATTTTTTGCTGAAAAGTAAAAAGAAGTTTGTTTTGCCTTATTTCAACTAAGATAATTTCACAAGAAACTAGACTAAAAATATTTAGGACAACTTTGTGATCTTGCTGTGCATGACATAAGGAATGTTTGGTATACTGTTTTATAACAGCTTGAAGTTCTCATCAGCTGTTTTAACTTGTCTTTATGATGCTGTTTGTTCACTAATGTTTTCTGTAAAAGCTCTGTTGCTGCTCAGGAAGGGAAAAAAGTAAAAACATTTACGTGTTACAAAGACTAGAAAACACTGGATCTCTGAAACATTTTATTTAAACTCACAGAGGATTGAATGATTGAATAAAGAAAAACTCAGCCAGACATGGAGCAGAGTGACTGAACTGTCCAAAAGTTTTCAGTGGACACCTGGGGTAAGTAATATGCCTGCATGCCAGCTGGCTTTGACCAACGTGTTTGTCTTCTCCAGCTCTCCTTCCAGCTCTTCCCTGTTTGCCTTTGGTCCATCTTCACACAGAAGTGAGAGAAGAGAAGACTCCACTGGCTTCCCTATGTATCTCAGCTCAGAAACATAACCCAGTCTCTCATGCAGTTTCTAAAATTATCTCTCTGTTTAGTAAATGTTCTTACTAAACATTTACTAAACAGCGAAACAAATGCATAAGAAGTTTCTTCATCTACACAAAAATCACATTAACTTTACTATGTTGGAGTTCATTCATTTTTGTCTCTGTGCTCTACCAGATCCGTTTACCAGTTTCAGGAGCCAATCAGAACCTATGAGTGTAAATTACCTTGAGAAATAATGAGGCTTGGTTATATAAAAAAAGCAGGGTTTAATGCTGAAAAATGATCAGTTGTTACAAGCCATACATGTCGTACAAATGGAACAGATGCAGAATTGCATTCACCGTCCAGCGCTGGGGCCACACTTTGCTCACCTTATGGATGTAATCAAGTGAGGCAAAGATTGTAGTGCGAGTTTAGCTTTTTATTCTTCTCTGCAATCTGTACCCTCCCTAAAGGGCAGCCTAATCAGTTTCAGTCTGTTTATGTATGACTGCCAGCAGGCACACATAAACATGGTCACGTAAGCTGCAGCATGTGTGTGTAAGCAGTGAACAGAGGCTAAAAGAGATAGAGGAAAAGATAGAACCTACAACAAGCACACAAAATGATGTATATTTTCTAAAAGTTAGTCCTTTCAGTCACACTGGAGAGAAAGGTCATAGCAATTGTACATATAAGTGGGCTGTGATTATGCTGCTTCAAAACCTTATTTTTTATCTATTTATTTATTTATTGATGTCTGGAACAAACGCACCACCACACCATGTTTGATTGTTGGTATAATGTTTTTTTTCTGAAATGTTGTTTTACGACATAATGGAACAAACACCTTCCTAAAAGTTCTACTTATATATTGTCAGTCCACAAAATGTTTTCCCAAAAGCCTTATGAATCCTAGAGATGTTTTTTCGGGGGAAAATCTGAGATGGGCCTTTTTGCTGTTGGTCAACACAGTTTTCAGATTCTTGTAACCTCCAGATTAATTGTTGATTGTCCCTCTTGGAGTTATTTTCCAGATGGAAAGCCATATTTTCTTCCTTTGTGGATAATGACTTTTCCACCCTTTTCAGACTGAAAAGTGAATATGTTTGACTCTCATATGTTCTTGAATTTCATTAGATTGGGGAAGCAGGCGTTGCTCTTTTAGATATTTTAGCTTATCAGACAGATCATATTTAAGTTTGCTTGCTCAGTGCTAAGTCAGTTTGAAAACTCCGTATTTGTATTTACTCATGTTATTTTTGTCTGATATTGGAATTTTCTTTAATGATCTGAAACATTTAAGTGTGAGAAAAAAGCTTAGAGTAAATCGGCAAGTGGGCAAGCACTTTTTCACAGCACTGCCTTACTTGTAATTAACTAGTGACTAAAGCACATCCCTTATTAAACACAAGATTGAAATATTTCTGTGTTTACATTTAGTTTGGGGTTTGAGCCTTTTCCTGTTTGCAGCAACTTGGCCAACTTGATTTCTGTGATGTGTGTCACCTGCACACACGATTTGTTGCGTTGTTAAGATATTCTTAACAGTGTGCGACTTCTTAAGAGCAGCCATAGTCCTCTTCAGCTCGTACCCGACAACACAGCACACTCGGGTGACAACACACTTTGTCTGCTGGGTGCAAACTTGCTTTAGGGAGGACTCTGTAGTGAGGCAGCGTTTACTCACCACACAGCTGCAGCAGACCTGTTCAAACCCCATCATCTGCAGACAACACAGGTGGAGAAGCAGGATGACATGTGTATCCACATGTTCAATGCTAATGTTAACACTTAGCCTTAAATTGTAGACTGCTATGGGAAAAACTGCCTTCAAACATAGCTAGCTAGCTTAAGTAGCTAGCTTAAATCTTCCTCTCATTGAAGTTTGTGTGAATAGACATGGGGTGTTCTCGTCTAATCTCATTTTGCAGACCTGCAAAGCACAGTTGTGAAATTCAACACATTAAAATGACTATGACCAGATGGCCACGAAGATAGCAAATTACTGCACCAAGTGTCCCATAAATCATCCCAGCTAATATTGAGCAAATAAAACCCGGGCAGGTTGGATGAATTGGCTTGTTATTTAAAAACCCAACCAGGGGATTTGCAAACTCTCCATTTGACTTCATCTCTAATTGCTTTTATTTTCGGTATTTCTCATGGACGTGGGGAATGTGCTTATGGTACAGCCGGACGGTAGAGGCAGGAGGGGCCGCCGTCTCGTCATGTTTGTTTGTGGGGTCAATGGGATTTCACATTGAAAAGTTGCCAGATCAGCTCTTCTGTTTTTTTTGTCTTTTGTTTTTTTTTAATGTTTTTTTGTTGTTGTCTTGCCTTAAATTTGGCATGCAGGTTCATAGCTCAGACATATTTATAAAAACAAAAAGGAGAAGTTTACTCTTACAGATCCACAACGTATGAAGAGATAACATCAAGGCGTATTGAGAGCAAAAAC